CAATTTGTTTTTCATTATACTCCCATCTAATTTAATTAATTTCGTATATGTCCTGACAATTAAAAATTTATTAAATTAATATGATAATATAAATAATTATTATTTATTTTATTAAATACAAAATTTTAATTTAATTATGTATAATAATTATTTATTTAAATACAAATATAATTATATTGATAAATAAACTTTTTTTTCTTAAATACTTATTTTATACCATTTACTATTACATATAATATATAGAAGTAAATTAATAATTTAGCTAAAAATATAAACATACCATCATATCATCCAAACAAAAATATGTCGTTAACATACATTAATATATCATCATCCAAACGTAAAAAAATTTTATCATTACAATCTTATATTATTGTTATTCAATTACTGTCATTATTATACATTAATTAACCATCACTGAAATTTATTCAAACAAAGTCTAAAATTACTCTAAACCTGACTGTTGATTTTTTGGTGATTTGGGTAGATTCAAAATATTTTCAACTTTTTTTTTTTTGTATATAATCTAATATGTTTGAAAATGTAAATATGAAAGAAATATTTTGGATATATTCTCACAATCTCTATGAGATTTACTATCCATCTCTCTATCTCGATCTCCCTTTTAAACTCTTATGTTCTCTTCCGATCTAACTTTCTATCTCTTTCTATTTTTCTCTCCAATCCCTTTATTTCTCATCTCACTCTTCATCTCTTTTTCTAAAATTCAAAACACATATTTTTAATATTTGAACTAGTTATTCAGAATGTGAGACTTATCTTAAAAATTAAATTATTTTGATTTATAGAACATTTATTTTTATTCATTATTCTTAAAAAGAATTATTATTTTCTTAAAAAAAGTACATTATATAATGTACTACCAATAAGTGTAATGGATATCTTACTTCCAAAAGGTAATAGAGATAATTTTATGATGAGTTGATATTAAATCAAGTTCCATAATTGTTTAAACAAATCAAATTACATAATTAGCTATAAGATTAATCCAAATAATAAAGAAGTATGTTTTTTGTTTTAACCATTTGAATTTTTTAATATAATGGTTCAAACTTTAATATTTTATTTAAAGGTCATGATTACGAACTTCACTTTAACGTAGAACTTGATAATTTTTTTTGTATTATGAATTAATGGTAATAAGATTATAATACTTAATTTAATTGGATTAAAATTTTAATTTATTAATGTGTTAGTAGAACTGTGATAACTAAATTTAACATGATCTTGACGAACTTATTATATTTTGAAGTAATCACAACGGGTTAAATACTCAATATATATTTTTTTTTTCCGTACTTTCTAATCAATAAAAGATCTTTAATATACAAAACTGATTTAGTAATAAATTTTACTGGAAAAATCCAAAAGTTTAAGTTGATTTAATTTAATTTATCATCGAATTCGGTCAAAAAATAATTAAATCTCTGACTCATTCATCCCCCAAATAAACAAACCATGATTTTACAATAAAATAGACAACATACTCAAGTGAAGCACAATCCCTACTTACATTGTAAGATTTATTTTGAGATTGGCGCTTACTGTTCTTAAAAAAGTGTTAAAATTATAGTGAAAGATAGCAAAGATTTATGCTCACAAACAATTCCAACTCCAACTTAATTGAAATTAATTTGTTACACTTCAATTCTCTTAATTTTCAAGGAAACATATAATTAAATACATTTTACAGTAATTCCATAATTACTAATTATTACACTCTGGTATTAAATCCATAACGTAATGCATTCATATTAATAAATGAACATATTGTTGAGAGCATATCGTTGAACTCTTTGCTCCAGATCCAGAATGATAATTGGACTTTTTCTATCTTCTGGTGGTTTCTCTCTTTCTTTCTGAAACACTCAGTGATTTGCATCTAAACAATGAATCCTGAGAGTGCTTACTCTTGAAAGATCTCATACAATAATACTGTGTGATCTAAAAAGAATGTTAACAAAAAGCATCTGAGCAAAAAAGACTTATTCTGAACCAGCTACATATCATTCTTGAGATATTTTACTCAGATCAATCATAAACTGAAACAATTATCCCTATATATACAACCCTCCAAAAAATGGAGGTGAACAGTCCAGATGGGGAGGGTTAAGCAACACATCTTTACATTTTCCTTCAACAATGGCCCTGCCCCTCATTCCACCCCCACCACCCAAACCCCTCTCTCAAAATTAAAAGAAAAATATATTAAGAAAAAATGACAAATGTCCCTCTCAACCAAGTGCCCTTCACCCTAGCAGAGTCAAGAAAGGCAAGCTAAGCACAAGGCTGATCCTTGTCGCCAATCATGAGAAACAATGATACATTAAAGTATTACCTGTTGAGGGATTTGCTCATTGTAGGCCAAATCAAAAATTGGAGGTTAACCTAAAATCAGCTGTCATCATCCACAGCACCAATATATGTGAGGTCTGTTCGTCTCACCCTTACAGCCCCTTTCAACCAACTGGAAGCTCGAAGGTTACCATGGTCAGCGCTGCCAATTACAGCAGCATTACTTGATGGGCCTGAACCTGCTGCATCTTCCAAGAGTGTCCATGGGTCAATTTCCATCTCAGAATCTTGTTGCAATGGCACTTGCTTTGACTTCACTTGCATGTTAGCAGAAGATCTTGCTAAATGAGCTGAACCTTTTTGGGGTGCATTTGAATTTCCAGTGTAAAACGTAGGAGCTGAAACATTGGATTGAAGTGAAGCAAGAGCACCAAGTGGAACAGATGGCAGCTGGCAAGAGATAGAACACCGTACAGAAGGAAGTAGTATCGGCATGGCAGCTTGGATTCGCCATCTAATCTTGTCAGGCAAATGCATTCGCTCTAAATCGTTCTGCATTCAACAGGACAAAAAATCTATATTTGAGAAATAGCACAATCAACAATAACCTCCATAAGTAGTCCATTTACTACCACACAAGTGATTGATTATGCTTGTCAAGAAACAATAATGTCAGATCTGTATCGGCATATTAGCACAACTGTTTTCTCCTAATCTGAGAAGAAAGCTTATGCAAACAGACCTTCTGAAGTTGTCTAGTAAAATCCAGAGTTGTAAAGAAACTATGGTGTCAGAACTATCCATCTTCATTAACTGATTGTGATATAGGAAGGAAACTACAACTAAACACCCAATTCAAATGCCTGATCAATAAAAGTTTTGATTCGCAACATCACCTTCCACAATGCCAACAAGATTAGTATTAATAAATAAGAAAAGAACCTTCAACTTAGCAACTATATCAAAGCTCGTGATTATGGGATCAAAACTAGCGAGAAGATAAATTTGTCACAAGAAACCGCCATCTTAATCATCTAGAAAACTACCATGCAGGACAGTGTATATTTGTAATTTATGACTAGACTATTTTCCAAAATGAACCAGTTATTAACCTTTCTAAGCTTAATACTTCGTCTTCCTAACCAGGCCTTTCCATCGCAGAACATCAAACTCTTGCCAGCAAAACATAACTTCAATAAAGAAAAGAAAAAAAGAAAACCTTCTTAACTCTCAGAAACCAAACTTGTCTCACAATTTTAGCAAATCATCACAAGGCAGAACTCTTAGACTTTTCTCAATTCTCTTCAAAATATCACAAATAAAATGTAGTCAAATCTGAGGAAGTAAGGCTTTCAAAAGCCAATTTCTTGAGCCATAATTAATCTGCTAAATATTCCCAGAATATACAACTAATGTAAAGCTAACTCTATCAGTTACACAAAGAGCTAAAATCTATAGGTTTTATATTGAAGAACACAAACCTGCAAACTCTCTGCTACTTCACGATCAAATGCTGAGAAATCTTTAGAAGATTCAGTGGTTGATTTTGAAGCATGCTTTGACTTTAGCCAACTTGGCTGGCAACTGCTCAACAAGCCATGCAAAATTAACAAAAACCGATCAAAAAGACTTTCACCATACACATCTGCGGATGCAGATGAAGGGTCCATTGGCGACTCCACCTCCCTCTTTGTCATATAGTTGTATACTGGATAGAAGGATAGATTTGCATCCTCATACACAACCCGATTGCCAAGGAGACGAATTATTACAGTGGCAAGCATGTGCCTCATGTTACGCCCTGAAGGCTCCCTGAAAAACAGAACATCTGAAACTTAGACAAAACAGGCGTATCAAAAGTTCATGGAAATAGGTTTCTCTTTTTCTACTGAGCATATCCATAAACTGAGTTAAATATAAAAAGACAAGCCGCAACAGAGTAGAACAATTAATAAAGGACAACTCTTGTTTGTCAGAGATTTCATAAAGAGAACCAGTGGTAATTTAATTACCCATCTGCACATATAACGGGAAGCAATCTAAGTAAAAATTGCAATCGCAATGACATAGAGGATCGCAAAGCTGAAGAGGATGGTGGGCCAGAGTCTGGTACTCCTGCTGCTGGTCGTCTGGCCAATCCAGGACTGCTACCTCTGATGCCCTTGCGATTACTCCCTTTACTTGCAGGACCTTCAATTCCAGATGGAGCTGCTCCAGTCTGTTTTGTTGCCCCACGAGTAACTGCATTTATTTGCTGCTCAATGCTATTCAACTGCTTGATTAAGTCATTTGCAAATGTATTGCGGGAATCATCGGAGCTTTGATCTATGCAAGGAAGAATTAAGTCAATGAGAGCCCTCTCAGTCACAAGCTGCTGGCTGACATTGGAACATTCAACATCAAATGTTTGAGAGGACCCCTTGCCAAACCTTTTCGAGTCCATGGCCTCTTCGACCACTTCGCCTTCTTCAAGAGAAGTGATTTCCAACTTCTTCTTCTCTCCCCTGTTTGCTACACAGTCAATGCCAGAACTGGACCAGCCCCAAGGCTTCCAATATTGTGCTTTAGTTGGAAGACTTTTACTCTCAGCAATATTTACAAGCCTTTGTCTGATTGTTTTCCGACCAAAAAGAACATCTTCACCCTGTAGGAACCATTTAGCCTGCATCAACACCGAATCCTCTAGTGACCTGCCGAAAAGATGAAACACCTCTGAAAAAAGAGGAACAGCATCAGGTCTGACCAATAACCTTGTCAGGACAATCTCAACAAAATTGTTCTCATTCTCAGAAGCAGCAGCTTTTTCGGGGCTGGGTGAAGAAGAACGGATAGCATCCAATATGGAAATATCATGATTATCAAGTTTCTCAATGAGGGCTTGTTCATTTAAAAGAAGCCTGAGCTCAACCCACTGCCAATGAAATTTTGCAGGCTGCAACGTATCTAACACGTGTACGAGCTTATCAAAAAGCTTCGTTTCACTCTCTGCATGTTGACTTTTAGCTTCACCATGTCCACTAACTCGATTACTTTCATGTCCACTAACTCGATTACTTTCATCTGCAGTATATATAGAAGATGGCATTTTACAATCAATCAAGGCATTCAGGAAAAGACGCGCCCGGAGAGGAACAAAGGCTGTCGATTTCACGTGCATGTCCAAGCCATTTAGCTCCAGCATCATTGCGAAGTCAGCATCAGTAGAATCTGCAGCAACAATATCATAAAGCCCCCTAGTATCTCTCATGCACACATCACGAAAAGGTAGGTGCTTTATGGCATCACAAATGGCCAGTGTTAAAGACTGATACAACTGATGGATGTCTTCCCGAGTCCCAAGGTTACTGTCCAAAATGAACCGCCTCCATAAAACAAATCCAAATATTGAGTATGCTGGTGGAAAGACCAAGTTGAGAGGAAGCATCCGCTGCATCCTTGAGAGAGCTACTATAGCAGGCTCACCCAAAAGTTCCACAACCAGTCCCTCAGAAACAGTTCTACAGTTCCCGATGAGCAGTCGAAACCAATGCACATAAACTTCAGTTGAGATCTCCACTTTAAAAGCCCCTATTGAGCGAGCATTACCATTAGAGTTGGATTTTGTACTCCTTACGAACTGAATGATATCTAAACCTTCCTTTAATCTTAAGATTGTCACCATTCTCTCCAGGGTGGTAACACCATTAGTTATCACCCCAATGACAAGTGCCGAAACAGCAGCAGCGACTTTAGTTGCTCTCCCAAGTGCTAATTTTGCTGAATTGTTTATATCACTAGACAAATTTGGATTTGAATCATACGAATCAGTAGACAATTGAAATTGGCCTCGGGAAGCCTTTCCAGGAGCAAAGACTCCAGAAAGAGCAGAGGAAGCTTCTGTTGCAAGAGCTATCTCAAATACTCGACTTTGACGCTCGCCAAGTGCTTCCTTAAGTAGGCAAAGGCAGGTTATATGGATACGCAAAATGCGCCTACCAAAGTTTAATGAATTTGCACCTGATGGATGATTTGAATAGTTACTTCCCGCCACAAAATCCAGCATCTTTGCAGTTGCTGGGCCTACATTATTAATAATGGCAGAAACAGCTGAAGACACCAAAGATGGATCCCCTTCTTGGGCAGCACCCCCAGTCTGCCTAAAGCAGTCCATTAATCCCATTATAATATCCTGAGCTATCTGATATCCATCATCCCATTTTTCAATGGCAGGACCTTTTGTTGAACCAGCAGCAAGGAGTTTCCTCTCTTTACCCAACAAATAGCGGAAGGCATCCTCAACATGTCGTTGCACCACCTCTCGCATGCTCAAACCCACTCTAGAAAGTCTTCCACCACTTATCTTTTGACGTAAATAATCATCAGGATCTTCAATTCCTGCTGGAACCCCAAGTGGAAACCCAAAATCTGCATCCATTGCTCGTCCAGGTTCAAGTTCCGAAAGAAGTCTCTTATCACATGCTGCTTTGAAATTCTTCTCCCATTCAATCACACTAGTTATATTGCCATATCTCTTCAATAGACGCCGGGCATAAACTAATGCTGGTGAAGCTGAAAGTCTTCCATTAGAAGCCATAATTGCTGCAGCACGATTCATTGTGGATGACAAAGCTTCAGGAATAAGATTGGCTGCAATAAGTATGTTCTCATACCTGGGCCAAATTACCATCGGGCATATCAAAGAAAAAGAAATGTTTCTTCAGTATCCAATTACCAAATTTATGCAAAGAGTGAAAACTTATTAAGAATGTGAATTTGCAAAAAAATTTCTTCCTAAGACAATAAACATAAATTGGTTAACAGATGCTGGAAAAATTACCTGTGAGTATGACACCACCCTAAACTAAGTACAGCAGAGAAGTAAAAACAGTAATTAACTCTAGAGAGTTCTTTTAAAAGGAAATAGAACCAAATCTTTCTCCATGGTAAATGAAGTCAACTAAATAAGTTGGTATAGGATATTATGCTTCTATGACAAAGCACAAATGAGAGGTTGCCCTTGAAATAACTAGTGTTGTATACAACTCAGAAATTCTATGCACTTTGGATCCTCTTAATCAAAAGAATGAGAATTTCATATAAGTTCAGACAAGGAATTAGATGAATCAAAACCTTTCTACCAGTTCCATTAAAAAAATATTAAGGCTTGAACAGCCTAATCCTAAACTCAACTACATTGTACAAATAAGGGTCAAATGTAATTTTCAATGCTTTTATTATGTTTACACCTACTTCCAATCTCTAAATGAATGAGTAACAATCGCTTTGGTAAGACAAGATAAAGAGATCATCTTATAGAAAGAAAAACAAGTGAAAGCCATCACATAATATACAATAAACAATCTCCAAATATAGCAGAACTAAACCATATCCACAATTCTGAAATTCATTAAATAGGAATGCAACACAGATTAAGATATAATATGATATAACAAAAAAGCGCACCTTCTAAGTGATGATAAAAGAAATGCTTCCCCCACTTCACAAGCATGATTTTCCACATTCCTAGACATCATTAGGAGGTTCCTCCCACTTTGAATAGTAGAATTAGGACCACTAAGAGACTTTGGCAACAACCAAAGAAGAAACTTCACTGCAGATACTAGGTCATCAGAAACATCCATTAGATAGAGTATGGCAGAGAGTTCATCTTCACCAAGTTTCCACTTGACAGAGCTCCTATCATCTATAGGAATGAAAGACCTGCTGAACTGACCAACCTTTGCCACAGTTTTCTCAGCATCCTCAACAAATTGCCGAACCACTGACAATAACCAAACTGTAATCGTCCTTTTCTCTACAAAATGCAGATGCTTTAAAGACCTCCCTATGGAGACAACATCTCCAGAATTAGATGTTTTCATTCCATCCACTGATTTAAGAGTTTCTCCTTCCATTCCTGTCCTATGGTGAGGGCAGTTCACCTTATTATCACATATATGACTTGTAGATGCCCCTTGACTACCTTCAATTCTAGCAGCTTGTAATTGTGCAAGACTTTGGGTTTTCCGTACAGTCTTTTGCCTTCCCCGAGAGGCCTGCTTTGTTGATTTCAGTGGAGGATCAACTTTCAAAGACTCCAAGGACTTAGTTCCCTTCCTCACCCACCATGTATCTTCATCATCAGAAGGAATTGGCGAATGTCCCTGGATGCATGAGCTCTTTTCCTCACTTAGCTTTTGTTTCTTTGCCCTTTTACAATCTTCGCACCCAGGTGTAGCTTCCACCACATCGATCTTGTTGGATACTGACCCAGCAGGCCTCTTAGCACTCCCTTGGGATTCATCCAGTCCTGAGTCTGTTGAAGTAGAAGATGACATTGGAAACTGCAGCAGAACTGAGATAGAAATCTTTAGTTCTTCAACATCTGAACTGCTCTTAACATGCTTAGCAGAAAACTTATTTGATGATGAATGAATGATTTTCCATTGATCAACTGAAGCTGAGGAAGCCTTATCCATTCCAGAGATTGGATTATGCTTTTGCTTCGGAGCTGATAAATTCAAATTATCTGCATTTTTGTGCTGATCAACTAGAAGCTCTCTGAGGACAATCCGACGTTCATTTGAGTATATATGAACAGCGTCTGAAAGTTGTGACCCTTCGGCAATTCTTGCTTCTTCCAAAGTGTCATGTATAAATTGCCCAGGCAGTTGCTTCAAGATTCTATAGTGTCTTCTCCTCCTTTCAAGATCAACAACAGGTCCATTTGTATCCAGAATCCCACCAACTATCAGCTGTCTCACATATGCCTGGGGGTAAAACAGTCCTGACCGTACGAGTTCAAATATAAGTAGTTGGGCGCGCTTAGCCCCTTCCCCCTTGTGCACTTCATGTTGATCAATCCAACAAACTATGATATCATGTAAAGGACCTGGGCTTTCAAATATATCCGATGAATTAATATTTCTTCCATCCACACCTTTTGTCGAGCTTTTAAGTTCACATGCATTTCCAGCAGAAGTCCGGCCAACAAAATTACTTATTTGACTAATATTTCTTCCAAGGCTAGTGACTCCAAGAGTGCCCTCATTCTTTCTCCATGATGCACTTTGAAGACCTCTAATCTTAAGTTTTAAAAGCTGGATAGCTATGTATACTTGTGAGAAATCTCTTCTACCTGTGAACTTTAGGCCCTGAGGAGCAGCAGTCCGGAAATCCCTAAAATCACAAGTCGCCCACTCGCAAAGGAAAAATACAGAGCAAATTAATGACCTGCCCACAGTCCCAATCCACTTCAACGATGACCTTAAGCACGGGCTAACTTCAGCAATCCAAGCTCCATCCACAGGTCTATCACAGAGATCCTCAAAGAGATGCCTGTAAGCCCCTCGGATGTCTCCCTGCAAAAGAGCTTTATCCAAGGCCTGCACAGCTTTAGCCACACTATGTTGAGGATATCCAGCACTTGCCCCCTTTGCAAGATTATCTGCGCTTCTTTGAATAGTTGAGACAACATGACTAAAGGACAGGGACTGATACTGGGCATCAACTCCTCTACTAGGAAATGCAGAAGCAACTTCTGTTGAATGATTTCTTATCTTTCCATGGTCCTCAGATGCCTTTGATGCAAAATTACCATCATTTACACCATAAGAAACAACACAAGGTGGTAAAGGGAAGCAGTCCAAAGCAACAAAAGTATCTGGTAGAGCCAATATCAAGTAGCGAAGCATCTCAACCAGTGCAGAAATTGTGTACGCCCTCCGTGAATTATCAACTAGATCAGATCCACCAGGAGAAGGTTCTCGGATGAAACGAACAGCTATTCCCACTAGACTGCGTACATATGTCTGAGAAAGAACAATGGTCTCTAGGACACCATATATAATTGGCAATAGTAACTGCAAGATGGCAAGCATTTCTTTTTCCTACAAAAACACAAACATAATAATAAGAAAACAAAGAAAAAAATGAAAGACCGCATGCTTGAAAACACTCTCCATCATTGTGGAACTACATCAGTCATTTCTTACCCCAAAGAGAAAACAATAAGTAAATAAAATAACAACAATGAATCAGAAACATTTTTTTTTAAATACAAAGTGAAAAGTATATTACTATGAGCACCAAGGGGGTGCAACCCATGTACAAATTTACAAAGCATTTATTGCAGCAAAAAGGCTTCTAAATTCCTCCTTTACCAATGGAGGGTGACCCAACAACAATGAATCAAAAACATAATACCTGTAATTGGTTCAGAACCCAATCAATGATAAGAGAAGGAAGAATAAGCCCTCCGGCATGGTGCCACTGCAGGAGCCGCACCACATACCACCACTTAAAATGTAGGGAAGGCTCCTCGCCATCAAGAACTGTCGATGTTGGATGATTCCTTTGTGGTACTGATCCAGCATAAGGAATTTGTGGTGATCGATCTCTATTGTGTGGAGTAGAATGTGGAATACTTCTCGAGGAAAATTCATCCACAAGGTATTGCAAGTAATCAATAACATCTTTAGTCCAGAGCTCAGTGCGAGAAAAATGAGTCTTGTCAGGCACTCCAGAAGAAATAGCAGCAGAACCAGGGCGGACCTGCAAAATAGAAATGTAATCTGACACCTTACAATATTAAAGATAGCCAACTAAAATAAAGTCAATATTGAAGTATTGTTACCAATACTTATGAAGCATACCTGATTAAGGTAAGTTACTTTTATAAACCAAGTTGCTCTCAGAAGTGGAACATTGTTCCTGATAAGAACTTCAAATAATGATTTCCTCCTATATCCATGGGGAACATGATCAGCCAAAGATCGCAACCGCTTATGTTGTTGTGATAAACCCTAAGAAAAGCAAACAAAGTTATATTAGAAATATATATATATTTAAAATGCATGAAGATTTAAATCGAAGCTCATCTCACTTTTCTAGGTTTTCCCTATGATCAAAGGAAACGTAACAACTGCAAGCAATTCTGATACATAACCACTTTTTTATGGTAAATCAAATTTTACAATTGACCAAACCAGATAAAATGACACCTAGCTAAACATTGCACCTTCTATCGCAAGTCAAATAATGCTTTAGAAATTATCTTAATCAAAGACTACCAATTAGGCCAATGTTAGGAGAGAAACCTTCTAAACCTTGCACTCTGAAAATATAAGTAGCAAACTAATTTTCATATTTATAATATCAAATTCTTAATATTTTCATTTCATTGTTTGGCATCTTCATAGTTGCCTGGAAGAAGTTATCATAAGAGTCAAAAGTTCCAAATGTCTTTATTGTCCCATTACATAATTAGAGGCCAAGTACAGTAAATAAGAAAATACCATGAACTGCCATTTAACACTTGTGCAAGTGTTTTCCGATGAAAGAACAATTATGCAACTTAACAGTGTATACTTCTATCAAACATCTTTCAATCAATACTAATGCTGATCTCAGCAGAACATTAAATACCTCAACCCACTTCTTCTTAAAGTCTTCCCCACATGCCTTTTGTTCAGGAAAGGCTCCAGGTTTAGTTACAAGTGAACCAGAAAGAGGAACACCATAGACCTGACCAGCCTGTTACAATAAGAATAATTTAAATTCTCCAACTCCAAAAGAACATCAGCACCAGAAAAAATGAAACAGTAAATAAATAAACCTCAATAGAAGAGATACATCACCTTACGCTTTTGTGCACGAGACTCGTTAATAGCTCTAAGACATTTTCTGATAGCCTACAGAAGAGAGCAACAAACAACATCTCATGCCAGTCACGGAGTAATTTTCTCATGCAATCAAACATAAAACAGGTGCAGATAAGCTTCACAAGCCAACCGATTTACCTCTTTGCACTTTAGAACAACAGGCTTATTGAAAGCTTGAACCTGGGATAGTGATATCTCTCTGGCTTCCTGAAAGAAAATGTTGTTGGGTAATGACAATATATTGAAACCTAAAAAACATGTTTTAAATGACAACCATATTTTGATAATTTTAACACCCACTCCAGGCAAAGTCCCAAACTAGTATCATTTGGAGACACATAACCTCCAAGTAGCTGTCACTTGTTATTCTAAACATAAAGGAACCCATACCCCAGAAGGTACAACAGGAATAAGGCCACCAACCAGAACTAAGGGCATGAATAAAAGCACAAAACTTTATATAAACTGAAAAGGAGCTAAGGTTTCTTCAAAAGAAACATTAAATTAAGAATATATTCAAGTGAAATTCATATGCCCACAGTGATAAACCAAGTTATAAATGAAGAAATATTGATATAATGACCACCAATATGTAGAATTACAGGCATGCCCACAAATGTCGCCATTTCAGCAAGTAACTAGTTTTAGTTGATTCTAGAAATGTACCTCAATTCCTTCAACAGTTTCCCTGTATCCAAACTGCACATATTCTCTATTCAGAGTCTCCTCGGGACAATTTGGAGTCTGGGGATGGAAGTCAGGTGGACCAAGTCTACAAATGGTACAATGACAAACAGTTGATATTAGAGGGCCTAGCCAAGAGTATTAAAGGATGACAAGCAACTCCTCTTTAGAAAATAACAGAAAGAAAATTCAGATATTAGCTTTATAAAGTTCAAGTTAAACAGAAGTGTGCGTCAATCACTTCATACTATCACTATATTTGGATCAAGGGAAATGAGGGCATGCATGAAGAAAGTAAGAGAATCATCCACCTTTTCCCATATTAGAGCAAACACAAGAAAACAAAAAGATGGGGGAAGGTGAAGATCAGTCTCCCCACCTCTTAATTAAACTCCAATTTCTTTTTCCATTTTCCAAATTGTGGAAAATGAGGAAAAGGACAAGATAATAACTTCTAGTGATAAATTGTCTATATTCAAAGTTGCCTAATTATAACAGGACTCATGGTAATCTATTCCTTGTATCTTCACACCTAAAATTAGAACAAAAAGTTATAAGAATCTTTTCAGTTCTTTTCCTCCCTCAAACTTTAGTTATTCTAGGAAGAGAAAAATTTTCCTTTTCTTCCATTCGAAAACCTTTTGTTTCCTTTCCTTTACAAGTTTCTATTTAAACATAGTGCAATCATTTATTTTGGAGAGCGGGAGGAAGACAAGAGGAGAAAGTATGGAACATAACATAATAGCATGCAATTATATGGAAATGTAAAGCATTTTATTTACTTTGTTGAGGAGTAAAATGGAAATGAGGATTAAACAGTTTAAAAGTGAGAAAGAAAAAACGAAAGACAATGGCGGAGTTACTGATATTTAAACAGAATGTTGTGTTTCCAAGAAACTATTACATGTGAACCCGTTATCACAATAAAATACAACTTACTTCCGCGTATGCCAACCATTCTCTCCCAAATTGGATGGGAAGAATTTTTTGACATTAGAAGCAAATGACGAGGAAATTCAACCCCCCCGCAGAAACCCAGAAAAAGAAAAAAAAAATCCCTCCACAGTACACTGCTAAAAACTCTACCAAAAAACTTAACATGTTAGCTTCCTAAATTTCAATTCCTTTTTGTCTCCCTCCCCCTTCCCAAAGATGTATTTAAAATAATAGTATTCTATTGCAGAATTACCG